TAAGTTTTCAATTTCTTGCTCTTCCTCTTCTCCTTCTGGCTTCCCTATGATTTGGATGTTGGTAGGTTTGGAGATGTCTCTGAGGTTCCTCAGCCTATTCTCATTTTTTTAAATTCTTCTGTCTTTATTTTTGTTCTGGATGAATGTTTATTTCTTTCTTATGTTCCAAATTGTTGGTTTGAATCCCAGCTACCTTCCCTTCTCTATTGATTTCCTATGGATTATTTTTCATTTCACTCAGTGTAAGCTTTGTTCTTTCCTTTATTTTTTTATTTTTTGTTATAATCAAGGAGTTCTTTGAGCAACCTGATCACCAGTGTTTTGAACTCCGCATCTGATAGGTTGGCTATCTCCATTTCACTTAGTTCTTTTTCTGGGGTTTTGTTCGGTCCTTTCATTTGGGCCATATTTCTTTGTCTCCTCAATTTAGCAGCGTCCCTGTGTTTCTTTCTCTGTATTAGGTAGAGCTGCTTTTATTCCGTGTCTTAGTAATGTGGCCTATTTTGAACAGGCACTTTTAAATTGTGTTGGGTGGGGACTTAAGTAAATGCTCAGTTGAGGCACCCACTTCATCACTTTGTGGCTGTGTGGGTAGTGCTTGGAGAGGGGAAAGTGCCACCATCTGGCATCTGGGTGTTGGTCTGGTGTTTGCCCTGTTTTCAGCCACTTCAACCCCTTCTCACGTGCAGTTGGTGCATTCCAGAGTTGGTGGGTTTGTTACATTCTAAGACCATGCTGTCCCTTTAAGTAGTGAAAATCTGATAGTTTTTTCTCCTACCCAAAACCCCACTGGTTTTTACAGCCAGAGGTAACAGGGATCTATCCTCCCAGTGCTGGACCCCTGGGCTGTGTGGCCTGGGGCTGGGACCACTCACTCCAAAGTTATCCCTTCTGTCCCTTCTGCCACTGCCACCACCACTGCCTTCTTCACCACACTGTCTCTGAGCATCTCTATGACTCTGCCCCCTGATACCTGTCTGGTTGAATGTGTCTTCTTTAAATCCTTGGTTGTCAGATTTCCATACAGCTCAATTGTCTGATGGTTCTGGGTGTTATTAGTTTTGAGATCTGGTTGTAATTCTTTTTATGGTTGCACAAGGAAGCAATTCATATCCACCTACACCTCCATCTTGACTAAAAATTCGTTCTTTATTCTTATTTGCCTTATATTCTTGCCTTCTTTTTGATTTTTTTATTGTTTCATTTTATCTCCACTGTTGGCTTATTAGTTATACCTCTTTTTAAAAGATTTTAGTGGTTGATCTAAGGTTTAATATACATCTTTAATTTATCATATTCTATCTTCAAGTTCTATTATGTCACTCAGGTATAGTGAAAGAAGCTCATGGTTGTATCCTTCCATTTCTTTCCTTTCATCCTTTGTGGTATTGTTGTCATTCATTTTAATTCTACATGAAATTCCCACAAAGTACTGCAACTACTTTTGCTTTTGACAATTATCCTTTAAAATGATTAAAATACTTTAAAAATTATATTTACTTTTATCTTTATCATTTATAGAGCTACTTTTTTTGTTTTAGAGATTCAGATATGCATCTGCTATACTCTTCCTGCCTAAGAACTTCTTTCAACATTTATTGTAGTGAAAGTCTAGTGGAAACGAAAAAGTTTCATTTGCCTTCATTTTTTGAGAGATATTGTAGGTGGGTATAGAATTCTAGATTGACAGTATTTTTCTTTCACTAATTCAAAGATGTCACTCCATTATCTTGTGGCTTACATGGTTTCTAATGAGAAACCTACTCTAAGTTTTACTCCTTTTTTTGCAATGTGTCATTTTTCTCTGATTGCCTTTGAGGTTTTTCTCTTTATCTTCTGTTTTCATTAATTTTGAAAACTTCTCAGCTTTATACCTTAGAATATTTCCCCTGCCTCATCCTTCCTCTTCCTCCTTCTGGGACTCCAATTGTGTTTGTGAAACTACTTGACATTATCTCACAGCTCTTAGATGCTTAGATTTTTTTAAAAAAATATTTTCTTGCCTAGAGTTTCAGTCTGGATAATTTCTGTTTATGTCTCTTAAATTCACTGGTTCTTTCCTCAGCAATACCTAGTGTTCTGAAAAGCACATTGTAGGAGTTGTATATGTCTAATGATGTATTTTTAATATTCTAGCATTTCTATTTTACGTTTTTGATCATTTTCATCTCTGCTGAAATTCCCTATATGTTCACACATATTGTCCACCTTTTCCACTCAATTTTTTAATGTATTAATCATAGCCCAACATCTGGATCATTTCTGAATTTGGTTCACTTGATTGTTTTAGCTCTTGATAATAGGTTTTTTTCTGCTTTTTGGGGTGTCTTATAATTTTTGATTGAATAATGGATCTCATGTGTAGAAGAACAGTAAAGACAGGGTAAATAATATTTATACCTAGAAATGTGCATACCTCTTTGGTCAGGTTAATAATGTGAGTGTTTGAGTTAATGTACCCAAGAGTTCAGCTGAGTTTGTGTTTTATTGTTATTGTTACCTTTGGTGTACCCCAGGATTCAAATTCGTCTGATCTTACATTGTGCTTAATGTGGGACCTGAGTGCTAGAGAGTTTTCCTCATTGTCCCTCAGTTTTCAGCAGTTTTGTTACAGAAAGAATCTCTCCCCACATTTTTTTTATACTCAAGAAAAACTAGCGTTGCTTGTGATTGGTGCTAGGCTTGTAGTGGGGTAAGGGGGCATACTCCTTGTCCAGCTTTGGTCTTAGGCAGGTCCTGTGTACCTGAGCCAAGAATGAGGCTGTCTTAGCATTTCTGGCCCTCTGACCCATTGCTGCCAAATTCCACCATGTGTCTGTGATATGTCTTGAATGAGAAAGGGTTTCCTAGCAGTACCCAACCTTTAGTTTTTATCAGTTAAGAACACTGAGCCCCAGTGTTTTCTGCTGCTTCCCAAGGGGCAGAGGAGTGGTACTTCTCTCCCCCAGAAGCGGTGCATCTTGGCATAGCCCTGCCGGTGATAGTGTTTTCTGCCCCTCTCTCAGTGGCTTAAGGTTTTCATATGAGAGGAAGATTTAGGGATGGATGTTGGGTGGGGTTTCTCGACAGAACTATTACCTTCTAATATTCTTGTTATCTCTGGAAAAATATTTATTGCTATTCCATAGAGAGGAATGTGGTGTTTCAACTTAGCTTTTTCACAGATATTTATTAAGGATATTCTATATTAATAGCATTTTAAATATTAGTTTAGTATGCCTGTTCTTTATTTCTCTGCCAGATACAGTTTCAGGAAAACACATTTGTCATTCAAGAATCTACCTGTTTCTTTTAGCCACTTTCCATAGTACCACCCAAAATTAAACTAAATCAAAATCAATGTGATTGGGAAAAGAGAAAAAATAACCATTGTGCAAGAGGCAAGTGAACACCTGGGCTCTCCATTTATCTGGAAATAGTCTTTAGAGTCAGGTAATAATAGTTTACTTGTGAAAATCATTCCCCAGAGTCCTTAACATGAAGATTTCTTAACTTTCTAAAAGCCATATATTGGTGTGCCAGGGGTTTGAGAGCAGTTGCCAAATCTTTCTTTGAAGCCAGGGAAAAACTATTGAGGCCTCCTCAGGCTTCTAGGGAAAGTGAAACAGCTATTTTTAGAGGGCGAGTACTACCACAGTTGGGTTCTCTGAGGTATGTCAGCAGAAGATCATAATTAGAAAAGAGGAAATGACCATTTATTCCAGTAAATGTTTGATATGAAACACTGAATCAAATTAATGGGCTCCAGAGCCTAAGGAGGGTATGTTCTAAAAAAAAAAAAGTCCAGTATAATATTAGTTAAGGTTGCAAGTTCTATACTAGTGTTCAGTATTAATATTGAGACCTGGCTGGGTGGCTCAGCTGGTTGGAGCATCATCCAGTACATCATCCAGTACATGCAGGTTCAATCCCCAGTCAGGGCACAGACTTAGGTCATAGGTTCCATCCCTGGTCAGGGTGTGTATGGGAGGCAACTAATCAATGTTTCTCTCTCCCTTCCTCTCTCTCTAAAATAAATAAACATATCCTTGGGTGAGGATTAAAAATATATGTATTTATATTAGTACTTTTAGTTCTATACTAATTTTTCCAGCTTTATTGGGATATAATTGTCATATTGTCTTCATTTTAGGAGTAGAACATAATGGTTTCGTATATGTATATGTTTCAAAATGGTCATCAAAATAAGTTTAGTTAGCATCCATCACCTCACAGTTAGAAAATTTTTTTTCTTGTCATGAAAATTTTTAAGATCTGCTCTTCCCAACTTTCAAATATTAGTGTTAATAGCTTCAGTCACCGTACTGTACATTAAATGGGAAGAACTTACTTGCAACTGGATGTTCGCACCTCTTGATCACCTTTACCCACCCAATTTGCCCACCTCGCACTCCTTCCCTTTGGCACCCGCTAATCTGTTTTGTATTACCTTTTTTTTAAAAGCAAGGTAATTTTAATCGGTATGTTTTATTGGTGAAGGAACCCTTTTCAGACTTTTTATACTGAAATATGGGGTGTTTTTGAGCTTAGACATACAAGTCGATGTTACTTAAGCAACCAAATTGCCAATCTGTTGTTGCGTGTTACAAAAAGAAAAATGAAAACCAAGAAAAAAAACTTTTACTTATGAAAAAGGAAGTTGCTGCATAGCCTCCCCCTTTACAGGCTATCACTGACAGAAGCTCTGGGAATTGAGCCCTAAATCCCCTGAGTCACCGGTCAGGCAAATTTTAAGCAAAACGCACATAAGCGTGACCCCTCCCTCCCCCCCACCTCCCCTCGGGAGCTGCTGTCGCTGGGACGAGGCCCCTGCGCCCCAGGAGTGGATGAGACCCGGAAGCGCGGAGGCCGGAAGGAGCCGAGGGAGACCCGTGAGCTGCACGACTTTAGGCCCGACGTGGCCGCGGGCCCGGGCGGAGGCGGGAGCGCTCGACCGCCCCACCCCAGCCTCCGGAGGTGGGACCTCGGCCTTTCCCGCCAGAGGAACGCCACGCCTCCCCTCCTCCCGCCCCGCCCCTCTCCCCCTCCAGACCCCCGCGCCATTTCTGCTGTTCCGGGCCGAAGAACCCCCCCAGAGGGTCTTGACACGCCGAGCTGATCTCCGGGCGGGATGCGGTGGCCCCCGGGGCGGTGGTGGCTGCTGGTCTGGCTGCCGCCTCTGTCCACACTGCCCGCGGGCGCGGTGCGCGGGGAGGAGGCCGTCGTGGCGGCGTTGTCAGGTAACCCCGGGCACTGGCGGCCCTGGCGACAGGCGCGAACACGCCCTCCCCGCCTCCCCGATTCCAGTCTGCCACGTCCCGCGAGGGCGCTCCCCCTGCCCGGCGCGGCTAGACCTGGGGTGCCGGTGGGCGCGTCCCTGCCCCGCGAAAGGCTCACCACGCGGGCACAGCCTGTCCCCGCGGCGGACCCAATCTTTCTTTCTGCCTGCTTGGCCTTCCCTGGTCTCTGCTGGGCCTTGGGCAGTGTATGTTTTTAGGACAAGATGCAACCGCAAAATTCAGTGTCTAGCCTAATTCTCTCCTTTTACAGAAACAGCAACCTGAGGTCAGAGATGTTTTGATTTGATCCAAGTCACACAGCTAGTCACTGGCACAGCTGACCCTGGTCTACCGGCCTGCAGCACCGGGCTTTGTATGGTACATACATTTAGGTTGAAAACTTTATTCTCTGTTTACCTTCGGCTTCGGAATTTGGCTGAAGTTCTCCTGCCCCTGACCAGGTCTGTGACTTTAAGCCAGTCACTTACCTGCTCACACATAAAACTCAGATAATCAAGAAATGGCAGTTGCTCGTAGTGTTGTTATGGGTTTATACATTCATTGCTCTCAAGATCCTGGCACAGAAATTGTAACTCCACAACTGCTACTAATTCCTATGAGCTTAACGTTTCTATTTCGTTTTACTCTCATAAAATCCTTTAAAAGATTTCCTGGCATCACTGCCCACCAATTCTCTCTCTCTTTCTTTTATTGATTCCAGAGAGAGGGGAAGGGAGGGAGAAAGAAAGAGGAGAGGACCATGCATGTGAGAAAAATATCAATCACTGGTACTAGGGAATAGAAACCCAGGCACTTGCCCTGGCCAGAAATCGAGCCTGTGACCTTTCAGGTTTGCGGGACTTACGCCCAACCAACTGAGCCACGCTGGGCCATACCATTGGCTACCTCTAGTTGCAAATGAGGCAACAAGTGTGGTCTTCTAGCTTCCCAGCCATCCCCACCCCAGCAAATCAGGGTTCTTTGTCCAAGGATAAATCGGTTATGAGATTATGCCAGAGGAAATCTTGGGAAATCACCTGAGGGAACTGTTTTACATCAGTTTACATTGAATAGACATTTGTGGAATGTTTCCTATGTGTCCGACAGTGTTGAAGTGCTTTAACTGCATTATTTTATTTGATACCCATAGTAGCCCTGGGTGGGGGTAGCATTGATAAACCCATTTTACAGATCAGAAAATGAATGCTTAGTAAGAAATGTGGCCAGCATATACTGATGAAAAAGTAAATCACAGTACTGCCAAGCAGGAGGGTTTTTGAGCATGGTAACAGCCGGAATAGTATGAGGAGCTGTGGACCAACACCCAGAACCTTGTGTTCTAGCACAGTCGTTACATTCAGCCACCCATTTGTAGAATTACCTCAGTTCAGGCACATAATATATTTTCTAAAAGATTTCATTTATTTTATTTTTAGAGAGAGAGGAGAGAAAGGAGAGAGGGAGAGAAACATCAGTGTGTAGTTGCCTCTCACGTGCTCCCCACTGGGGACCTGGCCTGCACCCAGCCAGGCATGTGCCCTGACTGGGAACCAGTGATCCTTTGGTTCATAGGCCTGTACTCAATCCACTGAGCTACACCAGCCAGCGCCAGTCTTTACAGACTGTTGTTTTCTCATTAGTAAAATGAAGGCATTTTATTGCTGAATTTTTCCCATATTTTCCTCACCTTTTTATTTGCCCCAATGAATCTAATGTTTTTCGAGTTTCTGTCACCAGACCAAGTGTTTACATTTCACTTCTCTGTTTGGTTAATCAAAGCCATACCTAAATGCCTATCAGAGCTTCTGCCTGACACATGCAGGATGCCCACTGAGTTGATAAAATTGTAGCCCACAGCTAAAAAGAAAAAAAGCAATTTATGAGCCTTAGAGCGACATTTGCCATTCTAGACAGGCTTTACAGCACAGACAATGAAGCATCTTTGATCCTGTGGGGTGCCAATGACACTGCTGGAACCTCTGGATTACACTAAGTTTAAGAACCATTGCTGCCCTAAAAGTCCTAGTTTTAATGAGGAACCTTGAGATCAAACAGCTGGTACTTCCTTTAAATAGGGGACATCTTTAATGTGAAAGGCTTGGATTAGGTGATACTTCCTGCCCTAAATTTTCATCTCTACCACACATGTACACCTTGCCATGGAATGGAGAACATTAGACTGAAGCCAGCTTTCTGTCACCCTATCTGAAATAAAGTGAGAGGCAGTTGACACAGGAGGGTCAGCTCTGGCTGAGAGGAAGAGAAACTTCAAGCGGAGCATCACGGGTGCTTTTCAACCAGGGGGGAGGTTCCTAGAAACCATATGTTGTCCTGTGATGAAGTTCAGGTCATTGCATTGGATTCCCAGGCTTGAACTATAGCAACAGGCCATTTGAAACCACAGTATTCAAATTCATTTATGGGAGAAGAAAAATCAGTACTTGAAGTTAAAATCATAACTAAATATGCATTATTAGCATGTGCTACTTTCAGTTTCATTCGCTGTGCATTTTCTTGGAGAAATAAAAAGTTAGGATTTACATTGAATTCATATGTTAAAAAATCCTAGGGTTAGTGGAATAGAGAGGTTACCTTTGTAACTGGTGCTACGTGCTAACTCCTTTGACAGTGTGGGGTTTTGCTTTTTTTCCTCTATTCTCCTTTTTCCAAAATAGAAGCAGTTACAGTCCAACTAGAGAAAGTGACAGTCTCATAAGTGATTTTATTATCCTGTTACAGTTTCACCTGAAGATTTTGTTTCTCACATGAGGACCATGTAAGGTTAAATTTTCAGGAGAAACATTGCTGAAATATTTTTATGTTGGAAGTTGGCTAAGATCTGCTAAGGTTTGAGGAGTATTTGTGCTTTTTATTTTTGGCATACTCGTATTCTACAATATAAGTAGGTTTAAGTATGCCCTTTTTTGAAGTTTTGACTGAATTCTTTACCTTATGTATGACTAAACTCTTTAACTTAAATTCTTTACCTTATGTATGACTAAACTCTTTAACCTAAATTTATCTTTATACATTTAGGAAAACTGATCAATGACAAAAGAACTACAAAGGAGTGATTTTAAATTTATTAGTTAAAGCAGATGATATGCAGCTGTCCCTTTTTATATATGATAGGTAGTCTTAGATTAATTCAATATTTATCAATTGAGTGGTATTTAAAATGAACTAAAGGATCTCATTGGTTCAAGTAATCCTGACTTAAGTCCTCTGATAATATGAATAACTGTGCTGTGTCTTAGCAGTTGGGGCATGGCTGTCCAGAAATATACTGTTCTCTATAATTCAGATTTATTGAAAAGATTAGAGAACCTGCCGAAGATTGTAGGGAGTTAAGGAAGGCGATGCAGCTTTGTGAGGTCGCCTTAGTAAGGATGGCATTCAGGCTAGGTCCCCAGATCCTCCTGAGTGCTTGGGAGGTGAGCCAGGGCTGGGATAGCTTGTACTTCCAGACCTTTCTCCTGCTCTGAATCAGGTTCGAGGAAGTAAATACCTAGATTATGGGGTACCCTCCAAGGTGGAGACATATTTCAGCCCCAAATGGAAGCAGTAGCTCTCCCTAGGCAGCTGTTCTCTCTTGACCAAATGAATGATTATTGTTGCATTTTTGTGAATCCTTAGAAACTTTTTGTTTTATGGATTGCATTGTAAGGGGATTTTGCTGATATTGTGTGGGCCAGAGAGTCTCATCCCAGTGGAATGAAACCAGCTAAGACTGAGGCCACATGAACAAATGACACCTGCAGACAGCCTTCAGTGTCAGGGTTTGAACTGTGATAGAATTCAGATAAAGTTGTGAAGCTGGCTGCATTTCCTATTTCCCACCCTCAGGTGGAGATAGAGGAAGTAGAATTTGAACAGTGAAATGTTTCTAGAAGAAGATTGAGGACGGGAAGAGAGGCCTAGGAAAGACATACCTTTGTAAACAGTCTAAGACAGTGATTTTCAACCTTTTTCACCCCATGGCACACACGAACTAATTACTAAAATTCTGCAGCACACCAAAAAAATGTGTATTTTTTGCCAATCTGATAAAAAATAGGTATAATTTTAATTTATTCACATTGGACAACTCTTGGCTATTGTCATTTTTTTTTATTTGACAAACTAAGGGAAAAGAGATCAATCCCCCTGAATGAAGAGTCAGGTATTGCGCGCTTTAAAAATTCTTGTAGCACACCACTGTGCCTCTTGAAGCTGATCTAAGATAAAAAGGTATGGTTCTTTGTAGGAAGGCAGTAGGCTAGCCATGATAACAATCTTGATTGTCACAAGTCACTACTGTCTTATGCCTCATCCAACTAGCCTATGCCTTAAGGTTCACATGAACTCTTAGAGCTAGGCTTGTAGCTTCTTGTGGCTGTGACTTTCTAATTTCTTAGATATTTAGAAATTCTTATGCGGGTTGATCGAAATGCATTCACCTTAGGAGAGAGGTGATAAAAATGAGGGCAGCCAGAGGACACCATGAAATGTTGCCACATTGTTTGTAATGTCTCATGTATTGTATAAATTCTAGATCAACTACATCTCAAAAGCCTGAACAATTCCTTGGGAGGCACTGTTTGCAACATACTGTCAGTAGTGTTTTTATAGGTATCAGAAGACCCAGCTGGTGTACCTCAGTGGATTGAGCACAGCCCTGTGAACCAAAGGGTCACTGGTTCAATTCCCAGTTAGGGCATGTGCCTAGGTTGTGGGTCAGGTCCCCAGTTGGTATTCGAGAGACAACCACACATTGATGTTTCTATAGGTATCAGTAGGGTAGCCTACCTCCATTAGTATTTGCCTTAATCTGGTTGAAGACTCAGGTGAGATCCAGAACTTGGGAGTGCCTTTGCACAAAATACACTGATATACTATATACAAGGAAACAAGTAGGAAAATTTGGGGGCATCCTGAGGACAGGTGGGTTGGTGTGGCCAGAGCAGCCAAGCGGAGGGAAAGTGGGAGAGGTCATAGGTACTCAGGTCCTTGGAAGAGAGGGTGAATTTCATTATGGGCTCAATGAGAAGTTGTGGAGGGTTTTAAATAGGTCATTCATATGCTCTGATTGATGTTTTTGAAAGACCTGTGTGCCTATGTGCTGATTGGAGAACAGGTTGTGGGAGAAATCATAAGGGCAATTCTGGAAGCAGGAAGACCAGCTATAAGGCCATTACAGTAATCCAAGTGCAAGAGAACTGTAGTTTGGACAACAGAGAAGCTTTACTCCTAAATTAAACTATTGCACTATACTTAAACTGCACCATCATGCTCTTAAGAGTTACAAATATCAATGATTTAGGAGACAGTCTTAGGACCAAATAAATAAAAAAAAACCTTAATTTGAAAATAGTATTTGTTTGCAAAGCTCAGGGCCAAAGATGATATTCCCACAGACCACTAACAAGAGGGCATTTCCTGGTTATGGGAAGTGATGTGGCCCCTGAAGTGGTGGAGCCCATTAGGAGAGGGGACAGCAGGGAGGGACTCTGGATGCCCCAACAAGAAAAGTCCCTGGCACTGAGTATTTGTGTGGTAATAGTAACTGAAGAAAGAAGTGGCTGGAAGTTAACATTGCTATAATGGTCTGGGGCTGCTGGGGTCTGTGGACCTTAGACTTCAGGCTCTTCGCCTGCCCCACTGGAATGTACTCCCTTTCCACCAACAGGTAGAACTTCCTCTCTTGCTGGGGATCCCCAGCATAAAGTTCTCACCTCTAGCCGCCTGATTTAGTCCTGTTCCTGCTCAGAGAGCCTACAGGAAGATGTGTGGAGGCAGAACATAGGATATTGGAAGGCGAATCCAGAGCCCTTCTCTCTCTGCTGTTTCTGCCGCTCACTAGTTGAGGATTTTGAATGTGTTTTGGTGTGTTCTCATCACAGTTGCTCAGGCTCTTCTAGGTTCTACACTGCCTTCTCCGACATTTGTCTTTTATTCAGCTGGCTGCAGCCTTTTGATGTCCCTGAAGTGCCCTCTCCCATGTGCAGCCCTCACCTAGAAGCATTTGCATCTCAGCTATACCTAAGAATACACCTCAGCATTGGTTGCTTCATGTGTTGGGATCACTGTGCCTATATTCTCCTTTTGGCTCTTATATATAAACAGATGTTGCAGGAATGCATTTCTAATTGTTAGTGTCTTGTATTTAACAGCCTCTAAAGCTTTCTTTTCATGTCTTTTTAAGACCTGCCTCTTAACCTGGATCCTTGTAATTGCACCTGAGGCTCTCAGACTGCAAGTTTGTTAGTATTTAAAAACATACTCATTTCCTCAAAATGTTAACATTGAGGATTGAATGATTTGACAGTGTCCTAGTGGAAGATCCTGGAGCCTTGTGTACCTTTCCTGCTTGGGTAGCTTTGTGACCTTTATGCAGTTATGTTTCAGGAAATAGTGGGCATTCACAGTGTCCTTTCCCCAAGTCTGTCTTCACTTTTCTCCAGCTTAATGCCAAGGGTGCTTCTAGCCAGAACAGGGACCTATTTGGGCTTATTCACTACTATTCCCCAAATGAAGGTAATTGTTGACTGTTAGGGCTGGAATTATGTGTTAGGGCCGGAATTAGATAAAAGTAGCCAAAAGGAACCCGAGGCAGGCTCCAGACTGTCTCAGCAAAGAAGACAGAAAGTACAGAGTGCTGGACAAGATAAACCCCCTTGTGCTTGACCTTGTCCTTGCAGAAACTTATCCATTGTTGCAAGCAGAGAACATAGCCATGTGTGTTTTCTCGAGATAGCCAATTGCTAACAGCTACGTCTGCTTCTGTATTCACTTGCTTGCTCACCCCAATAAAAACCCCAGGCTGTAAGTGCCAGGCGCGACTCTCATCTGCAGCCATTTTGGCACCCGTGTCTCTGAGACACCCCGAGAGTTCACCCCTGCGCAGGTAAAACTTTGAAACTTTGGCCAATAAAGTTCCATCTTAAACTCCTGAAATCTTCTGACATTTGCTCGCATTGGGGTATGTTACATTGACTAGTTTTTACTGGTTGCTCAGTTCTTCCCCAACTTTGTGCAGCAGGTTGTGCTAACTTCATTTGAGGTTTTTCTGGAGAAATTGCTGACCACACTTTCTTTAAGGGGATGGGGAGAAGGTGGAATTGGGTGTAAGTACCATTTCTGTGTGCCCATAATCCTGTTGCTGTTTCCTGTTGACAGATACAGTGGTTACACCCTATTCTGGACCTAGAAGAATTTATTATTTTCATCTCATTTAATTTCACAATAAATTGAAGTACAGCAGGAGATGAAACCTATCGCTTTATAATTTTCTTGTGGCATTTACTGTATTTACCCACTCTAATATAATGCCTATCTTTCTCTATTATATTGTGTTGTTATGTTATTATATATTTGTATATTATATATAACATACATACATTTATATACACACACATGGATGTAGCTACATTTGTCTCTAGTCATATTTCTCCTGTGCTGCAGACCTATCCATCTTCACTTAGTCCCACCAACCAAATTTCAGCATGTCCAAAACTGAACTCATCTCTATTCCCTGTGCAAATTGCACCCCATATTCCTTATCTGGGTGAAGGACCTTGCTGTCTCTCCATTTATCAGAGCCTTCACATCATCTTGTTGTCCCTCATCTAATGAATCTCTTAAGTGTGTTGATTCCACTTCCTAAGTGCTCTTCAGTCTGTTTTTTCTACCTCCTATTTAGTTCATGTCTTGTTGGAATTGCTTCAGTAGCCTCCTTAGTGGTTCTGCTTTGAGTCTTCTTCCCCTCTAGTATCTCGTATTGCTTAAAGAGTGCTCTTTCTAAAACATGACTGTGTTCCTGTGACTTATTTATCGAACTGGTTATTCTCTCTTTGTTCCCACTGATCCATTCTCTGCCCTTCACTCCCCTGCTCAGTACTGGGAAGCTGACCTCTATGGATTGTATCACCTGGGCTTCTTTGCCCCCTGGCTTCCCATTGGATTTGGCCCGTGAGAAGCACTGTAAGGAGGCCAGGAGAGACAGGCTGAGATACCCATCCCCTTACCCCACCGTTCCACTGAAGTTCTGACAGTGATTACAGTCCATCACAGTAGCTTACCTCCCAGCCCCCAGTAGCCCCAGTAAGGTCTGGTCCTCCCTTTAGCATTTAAGCCCTAAAGCAGGGGTGTCAAACTCATTTTCGTCAGGGGCCACATGAGCCTCTCAGCTGCCTTCAAAGGGCTGAATGTAGTTTCAACTCCTTAACAGGTAAGGAATAGTTACATTTATACAGTCCTAAAATTATTTCAGCCCTTTGAAAGCGACTGCGAGGCTGCTATGGCCCCCGGTAAAAATGAGTTTGACACCCCTGGCTTAGGGTGTTGAAGGCTTTTAGCTGTTGTTGGTGCCTTATCAATGGTTTAACCTACCTACAGGTTCATGAATTCTTTTCAGTTAAATCTTTTTGAGTGTCAGTAGTTTCTTGCTGAGACTTTGGTACTGACCTAAAATCCTTTATGCTCTGCTTTAAGCATGAAGCTTACATTCCTTAGTGTAATAGTAACCACTGCTTACCTCTCCAACTGCAGGTGTTCAGATGTGCTCATATGTTTCCTATGTTCCATCCTTGTGAATGGCTGAACCATTTCTGTGATTTCCCTCATTGCCAGATTTTGTATATACTTGCTACCCTTATCCCTGACTTCTGTTTCATTGCCTGCAACTTAATTATGGAGCACCTCACTCACATTTCCTCTTTTCTGGGAAGCTGCCCTCAATTCTTTCCCTCTGTTTCGAGACTAAAGAAATGCCTATTCTTTCTGCTCTTATAGCGTCCTCCAAATGTAAAAATATTGACACTGGACTGTAATTTTTCATCTGTCTCCTACGAGGTTGGGAGGACTGAAGTACTATAATTACCATGCAGAAAAATTTATTGGCCATAGAATATAAAAACAGCTACCATTATTCCTGTGAATAAAAAAGAAAAAATAAATTTCTGGGAAATTAAATATTTAGGAAATGTATTTTCTTTTCTGTATCCCAGTTCCAAAGTGCAAAGCTTTGAAGGAAATGGATTTAATTAGTACTTCTGAATCACGCTGTTACTGCTACAATCAAAATTCCCAAGTGGAATGGAAGTGGAAATACATATGGTCAACTGTGCAGGTAAGACTGTCCTTTTAAATCATGTGTTAGGAACAGGAAATTAAAATGTACTATTTCAAGAGTAGAAAGTAGCTTTTGTATGACTTAGAGCTGTGTATCAGTATGAAAGCTGACTTACGGATCATATACAGTGATTCAAGAGGAAGGGTGTGGGGGAGGGGACATTTAATTCTGTGTTTTCTTCACCAGCCTTTCTCCAAACCACTCCAAATAAATATACTATCTAAGTAAGTACAGTGTACTTGCTATCTAGACAGAGGTAAAGAAAAATACCATCTTGCTTACTTTACAAAATAATTGCTATCCCAAGCCCCTCTAGAAATTCTGAGTTTACCTCTGATCCTAGGTATGGCCAAGATATAGTAGTTACTCTTGATAGCACAGTACTTTACCTCATTCAATGTTTAATAAATGTTTATTGAGCACCTACCAAATACCAGGAATTTTAGGCTCTTAGGATATATCAGTAAACAAGACAGATACTTCTATAATATTTACACTCTTGGTGGTGGGGATAGGGTGGGGTAAGCTATGAATGTAAAAGAAGAAAATTATTAAACTAGTTAAGTGCTATGAAAAAAAGAAAATGTAGAGTAAGATAAATTGATTGAAGGAGATGGAAACTGAGTTGCAGTATTTAAAAGGAGTAGTCAGGGTAGAGGGTGACATTTGAATAAGATTTCAGCAAAGTGAGTACATTACCCAAGAAGGTATCTAGGCAAAGAGTGTTGCAGGCTGTGGGAATAGCTAGGATATATTAGTAGGCACATGATGTTGATTTATATCATTACTGATAATTTATACACCCTTTGATCACTTGGTTAAGGTTGTACCTGTCAATTTAGAGTTTTACTGCTGTAAAATGACTAATTTAACCTATGTAGGGAATGAATATTTTCAGCACATAATTTAAGACTATGTTGAGATCCAATTCCTCATCAAACTTTCATCACCTGGTTTTATTATCCATTAATGATGCTTGCCTGAATCAGTTATCATGATATTTGTCAAAGGGTGATTTTTCTAATTCCATTATTTCTTCTACATTCATGAGTTTTTCCTCCTCCAATTTACTTAAATCCACATAATCTCAGGGATTTCCAATTATTCATTGGACTAAAATCCATTACTTGGGCTTTTTGATATTTATTTTGCTATTCAAATTGCCCTAATTTTAGCTAGCAGGAGCCCCTTCAAACTAGCTCCTATGACCTTTAAACTTGTGCCCGTTATTTGAGCATTTCCTTACCTTCTGGCAAACAAGAAGTTCTAGGTTTATCTTGTAATTTCTTAGACCCAGTTCTGGAATCATACATTTTTCCCAGGAGCATTCAGTGTTATATTTATTGCTACTGCAATATCACTGTCATATGTATACATACACATGCATACCCATTCACCTGCAAATGTATCTATTTCTGTCTATATTGAAAGCTGTGAGTTCTGATTTCTCCAGTACTGTTTATTGAGTTAATTCTAACCTTCCTTTTTTCCATATTTGTAATTTCCTTCTTAGAAAAACCTGGTTCCCATTATACTCAATATATTGATTTATTTGCCTAATCCTAGAATACACTGAAAATAATTTCATATTTGTAAGCTGTACCATTGTATAAAACAAACCTAGTAATAAGAGTTCAATATTTGTTTACACTGTGTTTTTATCTTTATTTTGAGGGTATATAGTATAAATACTGGGCTCAGAAGTTACTTGGGTCAATTGCTTCCACCCGTCTTCCTTCAGTTTGGTTATATTACTCATTTGAGATATATTTGTTTTTATTCATTCCCATTTCAGGGTTGATTTTATTATTTTTTGTTGTGTGCAATATTAATATTAATAAGTACACAAAGATATTTTTAGAGAAGTGTTACTGCCCCTCATATTCCTCTATGCAAACCCTTGTTGGTAGTCTTACTAGTTCCTGCTATATCTTTCCTGTGTTTCTTTTTGCCACGGTGAACAGCAGTGCGTATTTATAAATGGTGCTTAAGGCCAAGAGACTAAGGAGTGAGTTTAGATGGAGAAGAGAAGAGGACCAGTGACCAAGCCTGGGTCAGTGAAGAGGAAAGGGGCAGCAGAGGAGAAGGGAGAAGAAGCAATTAGTGAAGAAGATGTTCAAGAAGCCCTGGGGGAAGGAAGTGTAACAAGGAAAAGGGAATGATCAGCAATGCCAATTACTATTATGTATCAAATAAGATAACTGAGAATGAATTGATCTTTTGAATTAGGAACATGGAGGCCACTGTAAAGGACAGCCTGATGGGAGTGAAAGCCTGACTGGAGTTGGTTAAAGAGAACGGGAGGAGAGGCACTGCAGACTGTGGGGGAAAGTGGAGTCAACAGAAGGCTTTTTTAGTGAGAAAATGTTGGCATATTTGTGTACTGGTAGAAATGGTCTAGAAGAGCGGGGAGAAGTATGGTGGAATGTTTTTGAGTAGGCAAAGGTGGATCATATCCAGTGGAAATGTTGGGGGCTTGCCTTGAGAATTGAACATGCAGATATCTGGCAGTTTCCTCCCTCCAGGGCCAAAAGTAGAATGTGTGCCTGCAGATGCTGATGGGTGGGGTTATGGTGTAGGGGCTAGTCAACATTATTTTCTGGTGTTTTCCATTTGAAGTAGGAGGATCACCAGCCAAGACTGAGGAGGGGAAGGAGGTGTCGGGAAATTGATGGAGAAGTTGTGAAATCCTTGTGGAAGAGAGTAGAAGAGTGACTGGGTGGGAGTATGTGGTATGAATGCCTACAGCTTTCAGATCCCATTCAGGCTCACAGTTATAGGTGTAAAGTGAGACCACTGTATGTTTCTCCAGCATAGTCAGTGGCACAAATGCAAGAATGGAGTATGTGGAGGGTTGGATTTTGGAGGGGGACATCACAAAAAAAGAGGGACACAAGGGTCAAGGATATATGTAAGGCAGTGGTTCCTAATGATACATCTTGGAATTCAGCTGGATAAGAAGGGGCTGAGTTCATTAAGAGGGTGAGGAGCAGGATAGAGATGCTTCATCTGTGGGGGGTGCTAAAGTGGACATGCTGGAAAGATAGGAGGTAGTGGTCAGCCAGTGAGATGTGTGAAATACAACCTGTATTTTGGGCTTCAGTTGGGACTGACAAGATGTAGCCTGTGGCCATGGGAGTGATTAGCTGATGTGGGTAGAGGACAAGAACAGAAGAGGAGTTCAAGGAACTGAGAAGCCAGCATGTTGGAAGGAGTTTGGTGTGTATACCATGTATGTTGAGAGAACAACTGTAATCCAGAGACTAAAGTCCAAGGGAAATGAGGGGTAGGTAGACAGTGTGTGATACCACCTGATGCCTGAGATTCAAAGCTGGTGCTCTCACTCTCCTTTCCAGGCTTGCCCTGGTCTTGGACAAGGAAGAGAAATAGAGGGATAGACATAGGCAGCAGCAGAGTTGTCATTTAATGGTAACTGGGTTGTCATCATGGTTGGCATTGTAGCTAGTGCTTTGCTCTGAGTCTTGAATGGGACCAGAGGTTGGGTTCTGGTCCTTCTTCAGGAGGCTGCTGAGAGAAGCCATAATTACATGCATTCAGATGATTCAGAAGAAGGAAGCACTTGTTCTCAGTTGCAGTGGAAAATGGTAGATAGATAAACCCTATTCTCATATGTTCATAACCAAATAGTTTGCCACCTATTACTTTCTATCTCTTTGTTTACATGTCCCTTGGCCACAGTAACCTGCTAGAAGAGGAAGTTTAATCAATCACAACTCAGGGGAACAAACATCCAATTTCAAAAATGTCTGTTGTAGTGCATGTAGGTTTATCTGTGGCATCAAAACAGTGCCACATAAATCTGCTTGTTCTTTACTTACTGGTCTCGGGGTCTCTTTCCTCCTCTGTTTATCATTTTAAGAAACTTCTTATGTTTATGGAATTTTGTATTCTTGTTTTATAGGTGAAAATTACCAGTTCAGACCTGCTCAGTATTGTATACATCACAGAAAGACAAAATTGCCAGTATCCAGAAACAATTCTATCTGTCATCAAATGTATTATTCATAAATTTTGGGTACCAAATGACTCTCATGAAATAACCATAACCATTAATTCATATGTGGAGACTGTGTGCTTTGCTGTGAAGCCTGTTAGAAATTATACAATACACGTAAATCGAAACAGTAAGTCTGTTTTTATTATACTGGACTTTCTTGGGTCAATTTTTCTAGCGTGACATTTCAGTATATTGACTTTTCTCTTTAGTCACTAACACTACATTGACACAAAATCTTTGTTTTGTATATGTGTCTTTTTTATTCCAGTTGTGGATTCCAAACTCTTCCTTGTGTTCGTGGCAGGCATTTTCCTCTTCTTTTATGCAAAGACCTTGAGTCAGTAAGTATTCATTTTTACTTTCTTAATTTTGTGAATCAAAAAAAGTGTAGGACATATTTGATGCTATGCTAAATGTTAGCACACTAGTTTGTAGGTAGTTCTTTCTTTAGGTTTTGCAAACAGTAGGTCTGAAACTCATGCTTGAAAAGCCTTTGAAACCAGTAATATTTATTTGTATAGTAATGATATGTAAACGTTACAGGATGCTTCCTCATGCATCATTTTGTATTACATAGTAATATATATTATTTTAATTTATGTGGTCCTCTTAACAACTATGTGAGGTCTGTATTATCACTTTCATTTTGTAGATGGAAGACAATTATCTGTCATCACATGACTACTTTTTGCCAGGGCTGAGATTTATACTCGAGTTTTCTGATGCCAGATGCCTTGCTCTCTGTATTATATTCAGGCTGCCTTCCAGATTTGAGGTTCTGATACAGAAGACTAAACAAATTTCTGATAAACATATTATGCTCGTATTTTCTTTTTAACAACTTCACTAGTGAAAGAGGAATCTCTTTCTATTTTACTTCTTAGCTTGTTATTCTTAACATTGGTTACTTTTGAGCTTGTAACATAATCATGTGTATCCATGCTTCTCATTAAATGGGATGTTGCTGTAAAGCTTGGACTCAGAGGAGCTGAGCTAGAATCCTCAATCCTCTAGTTAGCAGATACTGACTTGGGGAAGGTCTTTAACTTCTTGGTGCCTTAGTTTAGTTCCCTGTAAAATTCAGACCTGGATAGCTGTTTCACAAGGCTATTGTGCATGCATGTAAAGCTCTCAGACAAGTGCCTGCTACATGATAGGTGCTTAAAAATCACTGTTGGACCAGATTCTGAACAGACAGTAGCCCAGACATTCTGTTTTGAGTTAGTGGCAAGCTATTTACCATAAATTTCAAGTAGAGATTTCATTTTATAAGAGTGTGGCTACTATCAAGTTAAACATGTTTTTCATCATGAAAGTGGGGCCTGTCTTTTAAATAGCTTTCATCTGCTTGTCTTGACAGAAGCCCTACTTTTTATTACTCTTCGGGGACTGTGCTAGGTATTCTGATGATATTTGTCTTTTTCCTGCTGCTGATGAAAAGGTTTATTCCTAAGGTATGTATATTATGTGCCAGTGAATCAAAATGGAAATCAGGATATCCACAGGCATGAAAAATGGATCAAATTAATTCACATTGATTATGATAATTCTTAATTCAAACTATATTTCTACATTGTATAAACTGGCTTTAAAATGTATTTTTTTCTAGAGATTTCATATTTACTTGTTACTGTATGTAGGCTTACATAGTAAGTTTTGGTGGCACCTTTTTTTGAGACCCTTTTATTTTCTAGATAATGTGTTTTTCTTATGAGTGACGGGGGCTCATTCTATGCTAAGTGTTAATTTCTCCTGTCTGGGCATAGCTGAGGACTCTCGTGATGCTTTGAATAACAGTGTTGCCACATCTGGGGATTTCTTTATTATTACTAGTTCCCCCAAAACAGAATGTTTTTTGCTTAGTTGAGGATAAATAAATAGTTGTTCATGATGATAATGTTGTAATTTTTCTGATTAAAGCTTGCAATTCCAGCATTGTTTTGAGATACATTTATTCCTTAGAACAGTGTTTCTCAAACTTTAATGTACATGCAAGTCACCTGAGGATCCTGCTGAAATGCAGATTTTGACTCAGGATGCTGTGGTGGGGCCTAAGAGTCTGCATTCCAGCAAGCTCCCAGGTGATGTCAGAGCTGCTGGTTCATGGACCATACCTTTCATTAGACCCTAGAGAGTATTGAATTGACTTCAGTGCAGTGTGATGTAAAAGATGTCTAATACAAAGGGTTTATTTGTTTACTTCTGTTCTTATGAGAGTGAATAAACCAAAAACTGTGCCGTTTATTTTCTTCCACACACAGTATAGCACCTTTGGGGCTTTAATGGTTGGTTGTTGGTTTGCTTCAGTGTATATGGTGTACCTATTGATGGAAAATCTGAAGTGGCTGTGGTATGAAAACAGAATATATATATTAGGTAGGTAAATTTTTTTAAAAATACATTCAATTATTGGAAAACTGAAAAGTACAACTAGAGGCGACCTTTTGGCATATATTTCCAGCATCTAAATTTTCATTTTGAACTAAGAAGTGCTGTTAAAAGTAATATTTTATTTTATTCCCATAGTTGATGATTTTAGATCTCATTTTAGACTCTTATGACATCCTACTTCATTTTCTATACTGTCGATCAAAAGAGCAAAATATTATTTGCCCCTTTGAATTGTAGTCAAACTCTGACCACATCTAACTTGTAATGAAAAAATTTCTCTAAAATGTGGCTCTTTATATCTTTTTCTTGATGTATTCACTATGAAAGATGAAAAATCCTAAATATAAATGACTGATAAAAACTTGACTTTTCAGAAACAGATTGGCTATTAAGAAACCACTTGGCCCAGGCTGGTGTGGCTCAGTTGGTCAGAGCATTGTCCTGTGCACTAAAAGGTTTTGGGTTTGATTCCTGGTCAGGGCACACATCTAGGTTGTGGGTTCAGTGCCCAGTCAGGGTGCATGCAGGAGGCAATCAATTAATGTTTTCCTCTTATATCAGTGTCTTTCTCTCTCTTTCTCTCCTCTCTCTCATCCCCTTCCTTCCTCCTACAGCAATAAAAAAAATGTCCTTGGGTGAGGATTTTTAACAAAGAAGAAGAAAAGAAACTGCTTGTTCTCCTTGTTTCCTGTTACAACAAAAAAAATCAACTTTTTCTAATTGTTTTTAATTGGAACATAATGGAGAATGAGAGAATTAGTTTTCCTCTAACCCCAAATGTTTCACATAAGTTTACTTATCCAAAACAAAAGCAGTAAATTTTTTGGTTCATGTTAAGATTTTATGTTTTCAGTTCCTTTTTTTATGCTAACGTATTTTAAAAGTAAATTACTGAAATCGTGTTGTATTCCCCCAAAAGTGATTTTCAACCAATATGCCACAGGAATTTTTAAAACATGCCATACCTGACTAATTAGTCAGGGACACCGACCTCTTGTCCCTTAGACTGTCAAATAAAAAAAATAAGAATAGCCATCACAACAATAGCCATAGGGTGTGAATGAATCAAAATTATACTTATTTTATTCTCAGATCGGCAAAAAAAAATTTTTTTTCATGTGCTGCAAAATTTTAGTAATTAGTTTATGTGTGCCATGAGATGAAATGGGTTGAAAATTGCTGCCCTAAATACTTCACTGAGCATCTCTAAAAAAATGAGAGCGTTTTTCCTTTGTAGTCAAGCAAGTGTTAAATCTAAATATTACCCAGATCATGTTTAAATTTCTTAAATATATTTGATGGTTGGTTTTTATAAGCTGGGATATAGTCCACAATCATATTTTGTATCTGTTATGTCCTGTATCTTTTAATCCATAACAGTTCTTTTTTTTATCATAGTGATACGCTGAAGAGACCAAGCTAGTCATTCTATAGAATATCTCATAAGAATTTCTCTGATTACTCCTTTGTTGTATAATTTAACTTTATTTCTCTCTCCTCTGTATTGCCTGTTAATTGGAAATGAGATCTTAAGGCCCGCTTAGACACAGATGAAACAATTGGTGGAAAATCTAAGAAGCCACGTACACTTTACTGGATCACCACAGGGGGCACAGAATATCTTATCATCCCACCATTATTAATGCTCAAACCAAGCACTGGATTGCGAGGGTGACAGCCTGATACCTCCACTGTAAAATTATATTTTTGTGTTTGACTAGAAAGTAAAAGTGAAAAATAGGCTTTGTAGCACATTGTGACATATGCTGAGGCTTATCCCTGACCAAAGCAATCATAATAACATTTACCCTTTAGGACTCTGGACTGAAAAATAGACATATATTATAATAATTTATGATTATACAAGTCATAAATTATTGCAAGTCAGCCTAGTATTTCACATGAAAGGAATAACTAGCTTTAATGCCTTTTTCAGTTTTACTCCTTTGGAAAAAGAAAACAAAAATAAATATTTTTTCTGGTATGTTCTTAGGTCTCAGTCAAGGCTCTGACAGGTTTTTCACATAAATTTTTAAGTTCAGATTTATATTAGTTGACATGCTTTTGCTTTTACAGGCTATGTCTTGATAGCTGGATTTTTCAGCTTTGTTCTTTGTTACAAACATGGGCCCTTTGTTGATGAGAAGAGCATATGTCTCCTGACATGGACACTGCAGCTCCTCTCCCTGTTTCTCATCTATTTGGGTGCCACCGTTCCGCAGTTCGCATATGCAGTTATGATCCTCATGCTGTTGTCCAGGAACCTGCACCGCCCAGTGAAAGCATTCGGTTACATGATGTGGTATGTAGCTTTTTTCCTAAAAAAATTGACATTTTGAGCTCTGGTTTTACTTATTGTTTGGGGGAAGTTTTGAACGTATCATATTTAATTTCATAATTAACAACATTTTGTCTGGAGATTTCCCTGTGAGAGAATGGAGGATAGAGAATGGAAACATCTGGTCTAATCTCCATTGCAGTCTTTAGAGGTGTACCACCCACCCATCACTAGGTAATTACAGCTCATCCAGAATTCACTCAAGTCAGTGGCAGAATTACCTGGGCTCTGGGTTACCTAAAATTTCTACTTTCATTCTATATTTCCTTGCATTAGGGCCAAATACTGCTCTAGAGGTATTTGTTGTGTTTGAGATAAGAGGGAACACAAATGAATCATAAATGGTAGAAAGATATTATTTATATTTGGGACTTTCTTTTCTCTTAGGTTTTAAGTTAAGGATTAATCCTTTTGAAAGGATAAAAAGGTGAAGTAACTTCTATCATGATAGCTTTGTTATTCATGTCTGTCCTCATTCACTGAGTCTGACTGAACACCTGTTTTCATGTGAGGTGCACAGATTAAGGAAACTGTCCCTTCCCTTGCGGTGTACTTGCTGAGACAGAGGCATACATCGTCATACATTTGAAGCATTAAAATAGGCCTGCCTAGGGTTATTATAAAGGGATGTAGCATATAAAGTTCAGAAAAGTTTCTGTAAGTGATATTACTGGGTTGAATCTTAATGAGTCAAAATAGCAAGATTCATTACATGTAGGAAGGGCTTTTCCGACAGAGAGGAAGCCCAGTTTGGCACCATCGTGAGTCAGGCAAATGAGGTGGGCTTTGGATGGGCCATGGAGGCATCATAGGCCATGGTAATAAATCTAGTCTGACCCTGTATACAGTGGAAGGAGGTAACCAGTATGCATTTTAGTCAGTGCACCCTGACTGATGCCTAGACAGGAGTTATGTATCCAAATGCTTGAGGCCCCAGCAGGTACTGAGTGAGTGATACAAACACAGGTAAGGCAGTGGGGTGACCATTAGGACTATGGGAAATTTTACAATGCAGCTTCATTGAAAATGGGGAAGTTACCTCTCAGCTTGAGCTTATTGTTGCCATGTGGAAATGTGGGCCCTGCTTTGCCAGATCTTCCAGTTTTCTAGAAAAGCTAGAAATATGTATTAGAATGTGAATTCTGTTGATTTTTAAATGGTGGCAACTAATCTGAAAATAAAATTCAGTAAGCAAAAATCAAAGTTGAGGCCGTGATCACTCATCAGGCAGTGGGATGTGGTCCGTCTGCCATCTGGCAGAGGGTGGATGTAAGGGGAGAATCTGGGGCAGGAGACCAGTCCTCAGACATCACAATGCTCCAGGCAAGAGAGGTGAGGACTCAGAGTAAGGCACTGAGACCAGGGTGGAAGAGGGAGTTAATAAATGTTTCTGAGGTAAACTTGGCTGAAACAAAGGAGACTGTGGTAACTGGTAGTTTATGTATCTAGTGACTGCATGTGTGGTGATGTCGCAGGTTCAACAGTACACCAGTGTCAGGACAGTACACTCATGCAGAGGATGTTGGTGAGGCTGAGAGGCAGCAGGGCCAGGTTGGAGGGGCTGTTCTGGCTGATCTCTCTGCCCTGTGTCAGGACCCGATAGTGACTGGGATCACTGGGGGTCCCGCTGTCAGGAGGATGCTGACCACTTCACATCCCCCAGGCTGCTGCCCACTGCCAGGCTTGTATTTTGAGGAACCTAGGATAGAATTTTTTGTATGATGGTTCTTTTAAGCACTTTTTGTGCATTTTGTTATGATGAACGTAATAATAAAAATGTAGTATACCTTCCTCAAATTTTCATTTTGCTAGGGAATAATTATGTGACGACTTAAGAGATAAACAGGAATTTATTTATAGGTTAAATAATAAACCAGAGAAATAATACCTTGACTTGTAGAGCACTTTCTAGTTTGCAAAGAGCTGTCTGAATATATTTTAATAATATATGGTGGCTATTTTTTATGTTTATTTTTTTAAGCATATTTTATTGATCATGCTATTACATCCCATTTTTTTCTCCACTTTATTCCCTTCCATCCTGCATGCCCCCTCTCACCAGCATTTCACCTTAGTTCATGTCCATGGGTTGTACATATAAGTTTTTTGGCATCTCCATTTCCTATACTATTCTTAGCCTCCCCCTGTCTATTTTATACATACCAATTACTTTTCTTATTTCCTGTACGGTTTTCCCCATTTTTCTCCCTCCTTTTCCCCACTGATAACCCGCCATCTGATCTTCATTTCTGTGATTCTGTTCCTGTTCTAGTTGTTTGCTTAGTTCATTTTTGGTTTTGTTTTTTAAATTACATTTAGTTTTTAATAGTTATGAGTTTGTTGTCATTTTACTGTTCATATTTTTTATCATCTTCTTTTTCTTAGATAAGTCCCTTTTAACATTTCATATAATAAGGGCTTAGTGATGACGAACTCCTTTAACTTGACCTTATCTGGGAAGCACTTTATCTGCCCTTCCATTCTAAATGATAGCTTTGCTGGATAGAATAATCTTGGATGTAGGTCCTTGCCTTTCATGACTTCGAATATTTCTTTCCAGCCCCTTCTTGCCTGTAAGGTTTCTTCGGAGAAATCAGCTGACAGTCTGATGGGAACTCCTTTGTAGGTGACAGTCTCTTTTTCTCTTGCCAGTTTTAGGATTTTCTCCTTATCTTTAATCTTGGGTAATATAATTATGATATGTAATGTAATTATAATGTATTTATGCCTTGGTGTGTGCTTCTTTGGATCCAACTTCTTTGGAACTTTTTGGGCTTCCTAGACTTCCTAGAAGTCTATTTCCTTAGCCAGATTGGGGAAGTTCTTTGTTATTTGTTCAGGTAAGTTTTCAATTTCCTGCTCTTCCTCTTTTCCTTCTGGTATCCCTATGATTTGGATGTTGGAAAGTTTAAAGTTGTCCTGGAGGTTCCGAGGCTTCTCCTCATTTTTTTGAATTCTTGTTTCTTCATTCTGTTCTAGTTCGTTTATTTCTTCCTTCTGCTCCAAACCGTTGATTTGAGTCCCTTTTTTCTTCCCTTCACTGTTGGTTCCTTGTACATTTCTCTTCATTTCACTTGGCATAGGCTTCACTTTTTCCTCTATTTTGCAGCCATACTCAACCATTTCTGTGAGCATCCTGATTACCAGTGTTTTGAACTCTGCATCTGATAGGTTGGCTATCTCTTCATGGCTTTGTTCTATTTTTGGAGCTTTGCTTTGTTCTTTCATTTGGGCCGTATTTCTTTGTCTCACACATGCGTGAGACAAAGCCTTAGGTATTCACTATTCACGTGTAAGGGGCAGAGCCTTAGGTATTCACTATGGTGGGTCAATTTATGGCACTGCATGTGGCACTGTATGTGGGGGAGGGGTCCTAGAGCAGTGCCTCTTGTTTGGCTCTTAGCCAGCTTTCCGTTAGTTCCCCTGCTACCCACAAGCAAATCTGGCTCTTCTGGAGCTGATTCCCAGATAGGTGGGTTTTTGTAGGTTCTAGGATCCTGTGGGTTTCTCCAGTGAACTCTCCTGTGAGGCTAGGAGTTTCTCCTGCTGCCACAACCCCCATGGATTTTTATAGCCAGAGGTTTTGAGGCTTTCTTTTACTGAGATGGAACCCTGGGTTGTGCAGTCTCTCTCGCTCCCTGGTTGTTCCTCCCTGTTTATCTGCACATATATGTGGGACCACCAGCTGCCATCTTGCCTGCCCAGTACTCCAGCCACCACCTTGCTGGGTGTCCTCTCTGCCCTGGCTGCCCATTTTCGCACCTCTTACCAGTCTGGATGAATGTTTCTTTAACTTCTTGATTGTCGAACTTCCATCCAGATTGATTTTTTGGTAGATCTGGTTGGTTTTGTTTTTAAATTTGTTGTTGTCCTTCTTTTGGTTGTAGGAGGAGGCAAAGTGTATCTGCCTTCGCCTCCATCTTGGCTGGAAGTGCCAGATCCATTTTTTTATTATTATACTTAATTGAACACTTACTATGGACCACTCACTGTGCTAACAGCACTTTATATGAAATATTTCATTTAATTTTATTGTGACCTCATAAGGTAGATGTTACTATTTTCCTGTGGGTTTTTTTTTTTTTTATGTAAGCAAACTGAGGCTCAGAACTGTTAAGAAATTACTCCAGTTTACACAGTGGGTGAACCTCCAAGCGAGGACTGTGCCTCAGTCCTCTGCTCAGAGGCTAGGGCTTTTCCTCTAAGGAAACCGGCCTAGGCATTCAGAAAAGGAGAAGGAAATAATGTCAACAGTTCCCTAATCCAGCATATCAAACACCAGACGATCATTAAAAGTTAAAAGATTTCTCAGGACCCCATCCTCAAAAAGATATATGTTCAATACACCTGCTGGTAATTCTAATGCTTATCCAGATTTTGGAATCTCTGGTTAAATTAAAATTTAAGCTACCCAAAACCTTTTCTAAAAAATTCATTTATAAATATATACCTTATCATCATTACCATTTTTATGAGATTGTTTCCTTTAGAATATTCCTGTTAGGACAAAATTCTAGTCATGAGCTCTTCAGCATGTAGGAAAGCAAGAATTATAAGTTATTGTACATACAGGACCCTTGTACAATAATTACTCCCTCTGTCTGTGATTAATCAGAATCACCACCACTAGGTGGAGGTGACATCCTACAAATCCTTCTGCTTCTCTCTCTAGAAGATAAGTGGTAAATGATTATTGGAACTCCATAAAAGGCCATCCCAAAGGCTTGCTTCTGTTAGTGCCCAAGAAAATCAGCAAGCCAAGAATAAAGAAGCCAGACTTTTAAGTGTCTGGTGATTAGAAATCACTGAGGAAGAAAGATACAATTAATATTTCTATTGCAAATTGATTTTTAAGTATATTTTATTGATTATGCTATTACAGTTCCATATTTTTTCTCCCCTTTATTCCTCTTACATCCTGCAGCCCCCTACCCTCCAGCATCCCCCCACTCCCTAGTTTATGTTCATGGGTTATATATATAAGTTCTTTGGCTTCTCCATTTCCTATACAATTCTTAACTTCGCCCTATTTTGTACCTATTAATTACGCTTCTTATTCCCAGTACCTTCCCCTACCCCCATTCTCCTCACCCTTCCCATTGATAACCCTCCATTTGATCTTCATTTCTGTGATTCTGTTCCTGTTCTAGTTGTTTGCTTAGTTCGTTTTTGGTTTTGCTTTTGTTTTTTTAGGTTCAGTAGTTGATAGTTGTGAGTTTGTTGTCATTTTACTGTTCAGAGTTATTTAATCTCCTTTTTCTTTGATAAGTCGTTTTAACATTTCGTATAATAAGGGCTTGGTGCTACTGTACTCCTTTAACTTGACCTTATCTGGGAAGCACTTTATCTGCCTTTCCATTGTAAATGATAGTTTTGCTGGATAGAGTAATCTTGGGTGTAGGTCTTTGCCTTTTACGATTTGAATACTTCTTTCCAGCCCCTTCTTGCCTGTAGGTTTCTTTTGAGTAATCAGCTGACAGTCTTATGGGCACTGCTTTGTAGATAACTGTCTCCTTTCCTCCTGCTGCTTTAAGATTCTCTCCTTATCTTTAATCTTGGGTAATGTGATTATGATGTGCCTTGGTGTGTGCTTCCTTGGGTTCAGCTTCTCTGGGCTTCCTGGAAGTCTATTTCCTTTGCCAGATTGGGGATGTTTTCCTTCATTATTTGTTCAAATAAGTTTTCTATTTCTTGCTGTCCCCCTTCTCCTGGCAGCCCTACAATTCAGATACTAAAGCACATAATGTTGTCCCAGAGGTTCTGAAGCCTCTCCTCATTTTTTTGAATTCTTGTTTCTTCATTCTTCCTGGCTGGATATTTATTTCCTCCTTTTGTTCCAAATATTGATTTGAGTCCCAATTTCCTTTTCTTCACTGTTGGTTCCCTGTATATTTTGCTTTATTTTACTTTGTTTAGCCTTCATTTCTTCATTTTGTGACCAAGCTCCATCACTTCTTTGAGCATTCTGATTACCAGTGTTTTGAACCCTGCATCAGATAGGTTGTGTATCTCCTTGTCACTCAGCTCTTTTTCTGTAGTTTTGATCTATTCTTTCATTTGGGCCCTATCTCTTTGTTTCGGCACACCTGTTATATTGTAAGGGGTGGAGCCTTAGATGTTTGCCAGGGTAGTGCTACCTTTGTGTCTGGGTTGTGGCGCTGTCTGTGGGGCAGGGATCAGAGAGGGAACAAGGCTGCTTGCTCGATCCTCCTTAGCCCCACTTTCTAACAACTCTTCTGTGAGACTGGGAGTTTCTCCTGTTTTCCCATCTTCTACAGTATTTTTCCACTAGAGGTTTTGAGACTAGTTTCCTGGTGAGCCAGCCCCTCCTCACCTGTGTGGTCCACTGCCTTACACGAGTCCCGTCTGCCCACCCAGCTGCCCATCTCAGTTTCCTCCTACTGGTCCAGATAAATGTTTCTTTAACTCCTTGGTTGTCAGAGTTCCATGCAGTTTGCTATTTTGGCAGTTTTGGTTTATTGTTTTACAGTTGATGGTTATCCTTTTGGTTGTATAAGGAAGTGAAACATTTCTACCTACTTGTCCATCTTGGCTGGAATTCCTTCATATTGTATATAGGACATTGAGTATCAAATGCCTTAGGTCATTTTTTAGGATGGTCCAGAGGAAGGGTAATGTACTCTCAAGCCCATACTGCATATTTTAAGTACATTATTCACAATAACAACAAAAAAGTATAGTATGGTATAAAGGAAGTTAAGAAATATTACTGTTACTGTCAAAGAAATGTAGTTTCAAAATCTTAAGGGTTAAATTGAATAATGGAACATAAGGAATCTAGCAACCAAATGCCACATGTCTTAGGAAAATGAAGAAATGGTTTACATCAAAAAAGCTGGCAGTCAAGTATCTTACTGAAGATGAATACAGGGAGCAAGCTGATGCTGAAACAACCAGCGCTTTGGAGGAACTGCGTCAAGCCTGCCTTAGACCTGGCTTCTCGTCATGGCTGGCCGTCTCCAGACTCCAGGCTCCTAAGAAGTAAGCCCTGTTCAGCTACTGGACCACAGCTTGGGTTAGAATTACTGTGAAAGTACCGTGATGGTTTGGTACAGTTACTCCAGATTAGAAACAGACTACTTCCCTGGATAACACATGCGGTGGCGGCTGTCAGAGGTTCTTCCTTTTCCCCAGTGCTCTGACTCACACAGTAGAACTGGTAATGTCAGAATAAATACTGATCTGATGTGCTTTATAGGGAAGGCCGTATGACGCCATTCATATTAGGAGAAAGGTGGAATGGGCTTTGTCATCTTCACATTCTACCGATGTGGAAAGTAATTTGTAAAGGTCACTAAGAGAGGCACATCGCCCCAGCATCTCCTCCCTTGCTGCTTTCCCTTCTTCATAGCTTTGTTCAAATACCAGTACACTCGAATTATAGATCAGAGGGGGGAAGTATTGACACGAAAATAATAAATAATAAATCTAAATTAATAAGAAGAGATGAATTAGAAAACAGGAGTGTGTGCATTTGGCAGCACTCAGTGCTTATGCCTGTTTCTCTGCGCTGTCCCTGAATGTCTTGAGAAGGATCACATAAGCCATTCCTGTTTTTACACCCACTGTGTAAATGCCATTCTCTGTTGCTGCGAAGCCCAATTTAATTAAGGAGGACATGTAGCAAGGGAACTGTTATCTTTCGAATAAACCTTTCTGTGGTAACATTAACGTTATTTAAAACAAAAACTTAATAGGTTTGCAGACTTTGTTCTTGGAGGAAGCCACTTGTCGCCTGAAGAAATTAGTCTTCATGAAGAACTATATGGCCCTGGGGGAGCCTTCTTGGAAGAGCAGCTTTTTAACCTGAGAGAACTACCTGACAGTCTACCTGAACATTGACTTCGTCTGCATGACGAACTGGGTAAAAACTAAGAATCGTCTTACAGTTTTATGGAACAGTAGCAAAAGCATTTGCTATGGAGAAAAACCAAGTCACATCGGAAAGGGAATCTATACTGTATGGAAGATAACTGATCATTCTTGGCCAGTTCTGCTATTTATGTTACCATACGCCACCAAGATTCTATGACATTACCACTTCCCTTGAATGAAGATTTTCATTAGGAACAAGGGAATTGTGTTGATCTTCAAGGGGCCAGTAAGTGTGAACAGGTGCCTTGTCAACACAGGGCATTATATCCTCTCAAACCCCAGAGCCTGTGTCAAAAGACTCTGCATTGCTCTTCCTAAATGTTATCAATGTAAGTGCTGGCAGAGACCTATGATATGCTGGACGTATAGTCCACTGATGCTAATAAGTGTTAGTCGGTAAAGGGATTCTGAGGTCAACTAAGACTGATAAAAGTTAGACAAAAGTCCTTCAGGACTTCTCAGGACATTTAAAAATGCTAATATACATAGCGTATCTCCTAAAGAGGAAAATTGTGTGCAGAAGTTTCCAACTTAATCTGACCACAGAACCATTCATCAGATTGATATTCCTTGGTACTCCTGTTTAGAAAATGCTAATGATGGAGGAATTAAGGTTTAGGGACATTACCCAACATGTTGAAGACCACAGAGCTATTTAAGGCAGCACGGGAACTAGAGCTTCAGCCCAAGCATTTCTTATGACTCAGGTAGAAGAGACCTTTAAAGGCAAGCCAAAAGGTCAACTCCCCACAGCCTTGGGTCTCACGGTATTAGTGACTTTATTTTTTAATAATGGCCAACTAGTTATTTGGTAATTGTGATAAAGAGAAACATTTCCTAAGATTCTATTTTAAAGTTTTGATAATATTTTTATAGATATATAATAAGGATTAGAAATTAGAATTACTTTTTATATTTTTTTGTATTTTGAAGACATTTAATGTCTTATGACATTGCAAGCTGACTGGTTCATTTTTAAAACTTGTGTAGTTGCATATGCTGGTAACAATTTCTGACAAAACAGATTTGTGATCTTTCTTACAGAGAACACATCTTGTTTTTCCTAATTCATGATGTTAAACTTCAGAGTAAAACTCTGAGGCTCTGACCTTGGACCCTGAGTAATGGGGACCTAAAGAGGTCTAAGAAAAGATCTGAACATGGCAAACCCATCTAAGTGTTAAGATGTTGCTTAATTGATTCTCTTTAAGAATTAAACTGAGGCATTTTTGCTGTGATAGGACCATAAAAAATAGAGGTGTAAAGAATGAGGGCTCTTTCACTAAAAAGAGGTTACGGAGGTGGGATGTGTAGAGAATTCAGGCACTGCTTTCCTGAGCCAAATTTAGTAGAGTTGTTCTAAATTATTGAATAAGAGCATGTCTACTCATTTAGAACTTTCTAGATTGATTTCAAAATGACATTTCCTCTTTAAGCTGTGTGTCAGTGTTTTACAGGTCTCCGTTTTTGCCAGACACCTTTTAATATGAGGAGCTTTGTTATTTTTGTGAAATGCACTAAATTCAGTGTGTGCTTTCACATAGACTCTGAATTTAGAAATAACATATCTTCTATTCAGATTTATGATCATGATGTTTTCTAAGTGTAAACAGCTCTAACATTATTTTTATGATAGTTCAACTTGATTTTTTGATAACTGTATTTATTGGTTACACATTATAAATATGTCAGATGCCTCAGTGGTTCTGCTCACCACATTCGTCTCCCAAGAGAGTTTTTGTCCTACAAAATGTGTGTGAATAACGTATGAAGAGTCTGCTGGCATTCCCAGGAGACATCCCAGCCAAGACTGCCACTGGGACTTATCTGTGCCAGGGTAGAGAGCTGCTGACCAAGCTAGGGGTAACCATCACAATAAAAACAGCTAAAGAAAAAGAGCAACAATCTTCCAGGATGTTTTTCATGTTTTTTTAAAAGGAAGTCATGGAATTGTCAGTGTTTGTTATATGAGTACTGTGAAAAGCTAAACAATTAAAAGCATTGCTTGTAATATATTTGGTATTATTTCTGTTGTGTTTATTTGATTTGGGCTTTATTATAGGGCTGATCACATACAGATAACTCTCATAAGAGATCTTTTGCCTTCCTTTTCTTCTTCCTTTCCCAGTCTCTTTCTCCCTCTCCCTTCCTTTCTTTATTTAAAGGCCTTTAAAACACTTTAAATAACCATTAAGTTATTTAGCTCTGTCCACAAAATAGCTCTGTCCTTCATAGGTGGTTGAAAGTTTGCTTTGAGTTTCACACCATCAGAGGTGTGCAGCTGTGGAGCCTAAAGAACCCTTTGTTGTGTTATTGCTTCCACTAAGTGCCTCACAAAAGCTTATTGTTGTTAGCAAGCTGGACTATTTGACACCAAAAAGTGTAGGTGAGAAATAGTGGCAGTGGCCATGCTTAAACATTCATATCATTCAGTGCTATCTTTAAAAGGTTTTAAAACACATTTTACATATCACAAAAAATGTTTTGTGAATTAGTTATATTTGTTTGCCAGTAATACTTAGGGATAAATAACAGGAGAGTGCCCATCTGACATTTAGGATATTTGAACTTATACCTTTTTTAAAAATTAAAAATTTAAGAGATTTTAGATTTCAAGAGCTTTAATATAGATGAATGGGTTTTACCAATCTGTCTAAACATTTGGATGAATTAAGACCCATAAAATGATGTCAAGAAAAAGGATCTTACATTATTCTGTATGAGATTATTCCCCACAGTTAGAGAAGTACAATTTTTAAAAATCAGCCTTTTATCCAACTGATAGAAGGATGCTGTGTGTAGGTAACATAATGAATGTGAAATTCTGAAAAAGCCTGCAGTTACAGGAATTTTAGGTGACTCCAGGAGCAGCTGCCTTCTGATACCCCACTGGGGATGACATTGATGAGTATGGATGTGACTCTTAGCCTTATTGATTCAGAACCTTCATTTCTGCCATTGCACTCTTAGAAGACCTTTCTCACATTAGCCAGTCTATGTAGTCCATCCATTTAGTGATTCATAGCCAACAATGTAACTAGCATTAGGATAAAATATAACCAGCAGATTCTCTCTCAGAAGACAGATCTGCAAGGGGTCAAATTGTAGTAAGAACATTGCTTGGTGAACAGAGAGAGGATGTGTTGTTATTCACATGTTTAATGTCATGAAACCAAAAAGTCTTATGCAAACACCTCACAATGGGCCTAGACTTGCTAAAGTGATAGGTATCCAGTTTATTGACAGAGACCACCCCTTCCTTTATGTAGGCCCTGACAACTTTTTTCCTCCTTGTGACTGCTGTTTTCCTAATCTTGTTATTCATCAACATCTGAAGTCCCTTCTCGTGGGCATGTTCATTAAAATGTAAAAATCTTCAGTCTTCCTCTGGTCTACAATCCCTGAATGTAAATTTCAGGGATTGTGTTGGATCCCCAGAGATTAGGGATAAGTATATATTTACCAGGATAAATCTTAGGAGGTACAGTGGGATAGCTGTTCTTGTTTATTATTTTAATAATTTGGGGGGGTTAGATTTGGTCCATTCTCCTAAAAAGCAGTGATGAAAAGGAAGAGTACTAGTATTCATTGGAGCTCTGTCAGGCAGTATACTAGGCACTTTCGGTGCATCCTCATTTGAACCTCAGAACCACTCTAACACTTTTTAGTACTATGTCCACTTTACAGGTGAAAGACCCAGAGACGTAAGAGAAGGTTGCTGAAGAACATACACAGCTAAAGTAGTAGAACCAAAATTTAAGCCCCAGTGTGTCAGTGCCCATGTCCTTTCTACTTTCTTTATTGACATCTTTTTAAAAAGTTAGTCAAAGAAGGGGCCTCTTAGTGAATCCATTCAGGAGATGTCTGCATCTTTTGCTGTTATGCATGTGCCAGTGACCAGTGCCTTGTAGTTATGTGTACAGTAGATAATGGTCCACAACAGTGATTTTCTAAACTATCTAACAGTACTTTTATAATATATACAAAAATAAATTAGAAAAATTGATTCTGAAAGACATACCAGATATAAACCCTTCTTGATTTCTGGGTCACTGATCTTCAGAGTCCCTGCCAACCTCTTCAGTTTTCTCTGCCAGGTTGCCACACCGTTCAGGTCACCACCAGGGTATATGGGGTTTGGCACTCAGAACTAACAAAGCAGCTAGATTTCTAGGCATCTGAGACTATCTAGAAATCCTCCAAACTTTTGGCATCTCTGGGCCACACATTAAATACATTGTGACACATAATCACAAAAAAATAATGTTTTAAGTAAATTTACAATTTTGTGTTGGGCCACATTCACAACCATCCTGGGCTGCAGGCAGCCCATGGGTCGCAGGTTTGACACCCCTATATGGAAATATAGCCACAGGAGGAAGGGGTTCAGGCCAGGGCTGCTTTCTGGCTTATTCTACAACAGAAGCAGGAGTGGCTGTCATGCATTCCAGAGTGAAGGAAGGTGCTGGTAGACCTCTACTTGGGCATCAGATTTGAGTTACAATTTTGGCTTTATGAACTTGGTCCCACAACGAAGCTGTGTTAGGTCTAGAAACTTCATATTTAAAATGGGGATTGTGATGAGGATAAAATGAGAATCTCCAGCATGTAAGAAGCGACCAGTAACTATTGGGTATGGGCTCCTTTTCCTGAATTCACTGCTTAACTCCATATTGGCTGCAAGAAATACTGCTTAAGTAATGGGCCCAGCAGCCCCATCAGTATTGGAGGTGGGGGTACTGCAAATCAGAGGGAAGCTCTCGGCTGACTTTTTGCTCCACGTGGCCAGTAAAGCAGTGTTGTCTTCCTGTGGATTGTTCAGGCTTTTCATGAGTTTACTGGCTACTGGAGCTATATGTATTATAATCGTCTATTATTTTATTTAAGACTTTGGTTATAGTTTCATAATTAGCAGCTAACCTCTTTGGATCCACACAAACTCAGCACTCTGGGTAATTCACTCTTTCTGCAATCATAAAAGAAAGAGTCATTAAATCAGTGATTACCAGCCTGGGCTTTGTGATACCCCTGGGAATTTCCAAGGAATCTCAAGAGGGCTTATAAAATTCTCAAAACAAAATTGAAATTGAATTCACCTTAATATGTTTTAAAATGGCACTTGAGAGGACAGAAAAAAAGGCCACAAAGTCCACACACCCATGAAGATGTCTGTTCTAAAAAGATGAAATTTCTGCATCACCGAATCAGCTCTCACACGACAGGTTTCATAACAAAGGCCTGTTGATTCTGGTTTTATCTGTTAACAGAGTAAAAGGACTTCTGTTGGTTTGTTCACATCTTTATCATTTGAGGAATATTTAAAAATGGTGTTTATTTTTGTCTCAACATATCAACTGTGCATTTCCAAAACAGCAGGCTTTTCAATGAATAAATGAGAACTGTAAACACAAGATACAGTGTACATTTTTGACTTCTTCCTACAGTCAGTTTCACAAATCCACATACTGTACATTCATAGGTGAGGTTCAGCCTGTCACACATTTCTTTATGTCTATAATTACATAAGCACAATACATCTGATTTTTAAAGGTCACTTAAAATGAGTCATGATAATTTATAGTACAGTACGTTTCAGTTCAAGTGCAAAAATAATTATTTGCTTAATTCCATTTCTTTCTGTTATTTTTTTTAAGCTGTGTTTTGCGGTGCTAGATGTCCAAGTGTGAAATTTCTTCTCCCAGATGCAGTTTGAGACAGAAGGATGATATCATGGAGAAACTCTTACTTTACAACTGATCCTGTTTAGTCAGGGTCAGGGGGTAAAGTGAGTTGCTCTTTTTAAACTCCGCTCTGTCCCTTCCTTTCTGCTGCACTCATCCACAGCTATCACGTGCCCTATAATTGACCTTCATTCCGCTAGGGCAGCGCTCCTGTTTCCACAGCCGTCTCCTAAGGCTTTCTGTTAACCTCAGCTTTCATTTTTAGCAGCAAGCTTTATGCGTGGTTCACCCAGCCACTGTGCTGACAGCAGTTGTAGCATTTACGGTAGCACACCCATATTTGAACTGTCCAGTGTCTGACTGTGTCTTCATGGGAAAAAAGATACTGAATTTGTTTCTTTAGTCACTGAAAAGTATAGTTATTTCTTATTCCTGTCCTTTCATTCCTGGTTTCCACCTACCCCCCTCACCAAAAACACAACAAAAACTGACCCCTTTTATAATTTTTAAAAATTGTATCCCTTCCCCAGGCACTTAAATCTTATACTGTTATTTGTAAGTAGTACTGCTTAAAGAAACCTTTAGGAATTCAGTGATTTAAAAAAAAATTCCATCAGCCGAGTAGAGCCTGAACCACTGTAAAATCGTATATAGTGATATAGGCTACTTACAGTATCGATATATTTAGTAAACCCTGTCTGTTAGGTTACAGGATACTGAGTTGGTTTATTTGGAATATTCCCTCCTCTGGTCTTAAAGCCCATTTAAAACAAAAGGCATTTTAAAGCTCAGCTTAGCTTGCAGTAGTCAATAACAGCTTTTGCTCAAAGAATTTACTATTTTCATTGTATACCATACACATATAAAAATATATTTGCTAAAGATATGCCAAGTTTCTTATGAAACTTGTTCTAAACAAAAGTATATATGCTACTAACTTTTTCTGCTTACTGTATTTTTTTAAATCTTACAATTTTTAAATGGTTCTTTTTAAGAGAAACAAAATTATAGGGGTATTCTGTTTCTTCCTGGTTTGCATTAAGAACCAAATAATTAGAATAAATAATCAGAAGAGGGAAATTACATCAGCACTCACTTCGTGATGCTTTCCTTCCCTACACTTACTTAGTGTAACTGCTGGTTTCAACTCATACTGCCCTGGCAGAGAAGTCCGTAGTCCTTAAACTAACCACCAAAGAACAGAAAGTCCTCACTGAACTCCATTTCCTTTCTGTGATTCCAGTGGGCTGTTTCTGCCAATATGTACTGTAGCTACTATGTGTGTGTGTTTCCATGTTAATGAGTTCAGGTATCTAGAAGTGGGTGTGGTGCAG